AGCAGCTAGAATTGTAGAAGGTCATGGAAAATTTAACACTCCATGTTGCAACAGTCCTGAAAGGTAAGGAAGTGCTGCTTTGAGCAGCTAACCACGTCCAGTGAGGAAGGCAGAACAGGGGAGCAGTGGAGAAGGCTCCATGAACAGTTTGAGAGATCTGCCTGAAGGTGGGAAGAGAGGAGCGGTGGGATGGAGGTTATGGATGGCAGAACGGCACTCTGGCTGTTCACAACGGAAGGACTGGCGTAGCTCCATGCAAACACAAATGTTTCCTTATCCTTGTAGAAGGGAAAGTAAACAGGTCTTGGGCATAAAAGGGTCAAGTATTACTGAGTCCCAGGTTGGCCTGTAGCCTTCAGAGCGTGCCTTTGTTTCTTGCTTATTGAGGCTCTCTGTCGTGTAGAGAACAGGAGCTGCGCTGTCAGGATCAGTCGTGCTGAGAACTGAGCTGCGTTTGCAGACACGTTTGTTAGACACACTCTGGTGTCTAACAACTTTCTGCCCCTATAACCATGGGGCTGTGAAGTCGATTATCCTGTCTCCAAGGCTGACCAAACCTGGAGCAATGTGCAAAACCTATAATGGAACAGCAGGGAAGATGAGGTCTCTCCTTCACCACTGCTGAAGCTCAAAAATTATGGTTGGTGTTGATTATTGGGGTTGATGTAGCCTCTGTTCTGACTCTGAGCAGCCTAATCAAAGATGATGCTAAATACATGCATCTTGTTATTGTTGCCAGCCAGCTGGAAAACAGGTGACTCTTATGTATTCTTCTTTACAAAAAACACCAAAATCAAACCAAAATCAAAAGGTTTATTTCTTTAGCAGCTATTTGTCACATACACTGCTAGAACAGTCATGGTGCTGAGGGGATTAAATCCTGTACAGATGAGAAGTTTCGGTGACATTTTATTTGGAACAAAGACTTTGTGGCTGCAAATCTTCACTAGAAGAATGATAGATCAAAATCAGGGATTCTGATTTTCCAGACCTGCAGCAAAGAGCATGTGTTGTGATTTAAAAGGTCACATATGTTTCCTGTGTAAGTACCTTGCTGTTTCTGCTGAGACAACCAAGTAAATTTAAGAAAAGCTGCTGGTGCTCTGTTAGGTGATAAATTATGTGAATAGAGAGTCTTTTTCTACTCTGAAAAACACTGAATTTTCATTGCTCATTGATGCAATACCTTCAAATTTTTGTTTCAAGCTACCAACTAATGGCCTTGTGGAGGGTTTATTTGTTTGTATCAAGGACAGGCGCATGTGTAATTAACAAAAGAACAGAGTTCCTAGCATATTAGTGTAAATATACCTCACAGAGACCCTTTTGTCCTTGGTTACAACCAAGCTTTCTGATTCCTCATCAGGGGCTGCCAAACAGGCTTCTGGATGCTGCAGGCTCAGGCTATTCTTCCTAGGCAGTTGGCTAGACTGTTAATTAGAGCTACACTGGGTTTCTGCTGATCCCTGCCTGTGCCTCAGCTACTTGTCTTCTAATGAGTTTGCGGTCTACCTGGAAATCTTGCAAACAACTCAGGGAGGGGCAGGGGGAGCAATCTGCGTCAGTTTTCTCCTTCATTAGATAAACATCTTGCACATAAAACTCTGAAATGCCTAATTACCCAAGGTTTGTGGTGTTTTAAGCAGATGTAAGGCCAGCTACTTAAATGCTGAAGAAAGTGAGCTCAGATTTTGCAGTTTGCTTTATTCTATGTTGAAGTGTCTGGGGGGGGCAGGGAGTGTTCACTGAAGCTATCTTGGTGTGAGTCAAGAAAGTTAAACCAGTTTATAGCTAAGAACCTCACATAACCTGAGGAAAACAATCACTTCAGGGTGATACTGCAAAGATTCAAATGGATTTGGAGAAATGCAACTAAAAACCTTTAAGGGGAGATGACATGCTCTGTACCTGTACAATAAAACAGAGGGAGGAACCCATCAGTGACTCACATAGAGATGAATCACGTCTCTGCATTGTATCATGTTACTACCAGGGCAAGATTATGAATAAACTTTACATACCATGAAATCTATAATGCTTTCCCCTGCTACCTTTGAGAACCTGAGAAGGCAAGCGCCTAAGCATATATTGATGAATATGCAGATTACCTTTCTAATGAGGTAAGGGCATTGTCCACCAGAGACCAGGTTATAACTAAGCACAGGGGTTCTGTACCTCCTGCAGCCACGTCCCTGTTTCTCACTAACACATAAATTGGGGCCCGCTCCCCTGCACAGGGGATTCGCAGGCAGAATACGGAAACCTAGATTTCAGAGCTTTCAGGCATTATCACAATTTGTCTTTAGCACCGATGAACTCTGTGGGCAGAATCCAGTTCCTCACTGAGCCAAGGCAATGTGGTGGTGCCAGGGCAGGTTTTGGAAGCTGCCTTCAGAGTCCCTTAGTGCTGCTTTCCAGGACAGTCTGGATGTGCATCCTCAGAGCTATCTAATTGTTCCAAGCCATTGACAAACTTAATTTCTTTCCAAATTATTCTGCAGGTAGCTAGACAATTTCTTTTGCACTTGCTGACTGCCTGGTCACAGCCTCATGCCCTAAGCCAAAATGAGCACTTGTTAAACACAGAGCAGAAAAGAGAAGATGAGATTTAGGAGACAGAAGAACCTGGGGATGCAGGTGTAAAACAGTAATGCTGTGAGCATGAGAACTGAAGAAGCCTTTCTATGGATTTATTTCCTTCCGCTGGTTGTAGGATCTCGGAAGTTACTAATACTGATTTAGGTCTTTCTCCTAATGAAGCATGAAGAAAGCCTCTCTCTTGTGGATCATTTGGTGTTGGAAAAAGATAAGCATTGCACTTAAGCTTTTTTCACCAGCTAAGGTGTGCTTAAGGTCTCTTTTCTTCACCTAACCAACTATTTTTGTGACATTTTTAAGAACATGCCTTTGAGAGTGCTTTCCCTCAGTCAAATTTGATCAAAAGTCAGTAGTGTTAGAATGAGCATATACACATGCATGTGTGATGAGTTAAGGAGCCTCTTGTCCTTAGGAAATCAAGATAAAATAAAGCAACTAGCATGTCTCTGAATAACCAGAACAATACCATTGCTGCTGAGACCTTCCCCACTTGAGGAATAGTTAGGATCTAGTTGGCACGGCTGGTCTAGCTGTACATCCAGCTAAGCAAGGATGTGGTGTCAGTGAATGCAAGAGTGCTCTGTGATGGAGAAGAAATGGTCACTCAGGCTGGAAGGTCTGGTCTTCTTGTCAGGAGGGGGCAGGAGGACTGTTTCTCAGCCAGCGTGCAATGCCTTGCTGTTATCAGCCAATGGACTGCTGTGTCTTGAAATAAATGCACAAGTTTCAAGGCAAAATCCCTTCTTTTTTTTCTTTCTTTTTTTTTTTTTCCCAGAGGATTGGTGGAGAAACAGTGAGATTCCTGATATATAATCTCTCCTCTGGAAAATTCGCAGTGTTACAGCTGTGGATGGTGTCACTGTAGTGCAATAGGCAGAGTCTTTTAAGCGAGCTGCAGGGAGCTTATTTACAAGCTCTCTCCTCCTACAGAGAGCCTCTGTGATATTCTGGTGCAGAACAACAGGAGATCATTGATGTTTTCCCCTTTCATAGACCCGCTAGCATGTGTTCTAGAAGGGCCAACACTGTCTCTTGCATGCAGCAAAACCAAAGCTGCCTCTGTGGGAATGGTGGACAGGGGGATTTTATTTTAACACTGAGTAGTTTCCTACCCACTGCACCTTGTGCGTTTTCTGGGGTTGTAGTGACGTACTGTGTCTGATCAGAAACTGGCTCTGTGTTCCTGCAAGAGTGCTCCACATGGATTTATTTTACTCTTCCAGCTGGCTATATGATTGATGAGTCCTTTTAGGGTCTTTCTTTCTAGAGAAGAGAAAATTTAATCACATTTTAAGCCAGTGGCAGTAAATGCTTTCTTAAGTGTGGGTTTTAGAGGACTAAAGGATTATTCATTTCAGAACTGCTAACCCGTAAGAGTAACTAGCAGTGAGCCCCTTATGCTGAACGTGCTATGAAGGTGTAAGGTCTTTTGCCTCCCTGCAGCTGTCTCGCAGAGTTACCGTTTGCCACAAGACAGATGAGATGTGCTTGTTGAAGTGATAGATACCTCCTGAACAAGAGAGACGTTAAGCACACAACCTCACTCCTTGGTTCAGAAGGCAGGTCCGGAAGGAGTGGATTGGCTGCAGGACTGCTGATCTGCTGTAGCCATATTCCTCAGTTTGAGAACAGGCACCAAAAAGCATTGGGAATAAATGTTGTCGGCATCCAACAGACGGTAGTTTACGGGCTTTCCAGCTGTCACAAGTCTTTTGAAATTCTCTTGTATATGCCAGAGTTTCACCTTTGTGCTGCCAAGCTGAACACAGAAATGACAGCTGCAGGTAGAGGTATTCTACAGCACTCTGTAGGTAAAGAGAATTAAGCTGAACTAACAGAAGAGGATTAGTAAATCTCAGATTAGTATGTACACCTCAGACAGCATGATTGGGATATTCCACATAAAATTCACTTTGTAGAATTGCATCAAGTCTGTGGTTGTTGCCTCTAACCTCAGGTAAGAAATGAGTCACCGGCAGCATCTATCTCAAGGACATTTTCCTGACTGCGACATTAAATTGCGACACGTAAATGTCTTCTGCCTGGTACAGTCCTGGACTGCTTTCTATTGCTTCTGCTTTGAAGTGTCAGCTTTCAGTGAACTCTGGTAACATTTTATTATTGCATTGAGGCTGAGGCAGAGAAGAGCAATTAAGGGCTTGACATCTTTGGTATTTTTTTTAATAGTACATGTGTCAAAATGCATTTAACAAATCCTAGTTGATGCAAAAGCCAGATTAATGCTAAAATGTAAGTAGAGTTCATTTCAGTTGGGAGCAAATGAGAATTTAAAAATGTATAATAAAAAAAAGTAGTTGCCTTATTTTAGATATAGGACCTAACTACAACTTCTGTTTCTGAGAACTGAAGTCTTAAAGCCTTAATATTCCCTTCTGTTCCAGGATACAGCTGGACAAGAAAGATACAGGACCATCACTACAGCCTACTACCGAGGAGCCATGGGCTTTGTCCTCATGTATGATATCACCAGTGAAGACTCCTTCAATGCAGTGCAGGACTGGTATGAAATATTGTTGTCGTTGGGTTTGTTTGTTTTTTTGACCAATTCTTTCCTCACATTCGTTTCTTGAGAACATTAGACATCCCATCCTCCACAGTGCTTTGCATCATTGTGTTCCTTCCTCTTCATCTAAACTCTAGGATCAATAATTTGTTTTTTTAAACTGTCCTTAGAATAAGTCCTACAGTTTCACTTCAATGAAAAAGTTATAATTCAATATAGTAGCATACTGTAGCAGTTGTTGCTTTTAGAAGTTCTAATTAATTTTAAAGAAAATCCTTTAATGCATTACTTGAGCTTATGAGGCTTCTGGCTGTGCTGCTAAAACAACCCAGTTTAACAGTGGTTGTTTGAGACAAATCTCATTTAAAATCTAGTAAGGCGAAAACTTTCCATACTGCCTTAAAAAGTGATATATTTATTTTTATAACCTAAAAGTATAGACACAAGGAACAGTATTCACCTTGCCTAACTTGAGATAGTTAAAAATCTAACTTTACCCATTGAAAACCTGTGAGGTTTAAATTAGCTGTAGTTGTAATAAGAGGAGGAAGAGCAAGGTCTAGGACAGAAAGCAGGCACACCCCTTGGAAAGCACCTATCTGGTACAGATGACTACAGAAAGCACTTGAACAACTTGTTAAGGCAATGCGCAGTGTGGAAAGGTGAGATGGGGAAGGAGGAATTACCTGTTAAATGGGAAGGGTGGAAACTGAGCCTTAAAACTGGGTATGAAATGGATTCTCAGATGTTATAATCTCCTCTGGCTCTGCTGAATTCAGTATTTGTGCAGAAACCCATGAAAATGATTTCTGAACTTTCTGATGACAAAAAAGCCAGGAAAGATTTTTTACTTAGAGTAGCTAAAAAAAAGCCCCAAGTCAGTCACTTCAAAAGCTCCACGGCATTATCAAAGCTGCACCAGTATCCAGGCTCGTCTCCTGGATGAGGTGTGCACCTCCCCTTCCCCACCTGAAGGCTTCCCTTGTAGCTCATGCCGCCTATCCTCTTCCTCAGGAAGAAATGTCCCATCTCATCTGATTTTGGAAGGAGAGGTGTGACCCAGACCTTCCTCCTGCTCTCCTGCCTTCCAGACGAGCCCAAGTACAGAGCAGGAGGTGTAGTGGTCTTCCCAGAAGAGCCAAAGCATGATGTGTCGTTGCTGTGGCCGTGGGTAGTGCCTGCACCCCTCTCGGTGGTAGCTGATGGGAGATGTTTTCTCTGCAAGGATCCAGCACAGGTGAAAACATCTGAGTTGCTGCTGGGAGGCAGTGGCTGCAGGCACAGCACAGATAAGCAGGAGGCGGAAGCCTGTTGCTGGAGCTCATGTTCTGGCGTGGCATCCTGTCAAAGGGACACCAGACTTTGTGCTGGAATTACAGGGCATGGGGAGGCAGGGGAAAGGCTGTATTTGTCCCAAGAAGCGTATCCTGAAATGTCCTGCAATCATTTCTGCTTGTTACCCCGCTGCAGTATACTGCAGAGAGGTAAGGTCAGCCTGCAAAGAAGGGCAATGCAGTGGTTAATGTAATCTCCCAAGTCTGATGGATTGATTTGCAATGATCTCAGTGATTGACCAAGAGCATGTAACATACGCTGGCTATGGCACTGGCTCTTAGCATCTAGCTCAGTCTGGCTTTTTGTTGAAAACCTCTTTGGTATCCCCTAATCTGGTAACTCAAAAGATGGTAACTCAGAAGATGCAGCATGACAAACCCTCCATGAAGCTCAGATGAAACTTTTTCTGCAAGTATCTGCACAGGGATTTTTTCACAGGAGTGCAGACACATGAACGAGGGCAATATCTTTCACTAAAACATAAATATTTTCAGCTTAGTTCCCTGATGAAAGGAGATATATATGGCCAATTATTCTGGTTGGTTCCTCTAATAATTTTTACTTACCAGTCTTAATGTAGTCAAAAAATACCAAATCTCAATCCATGAGCTGCCACTATGAGCTACTATTTTAAAGTTTGCAGAGGTGAAGTTTAACCTGAAGCTTTGTATTGGAAATGGTCTAATACCTGTTCCAACAAAAGCAATGAGACAAGAGTGTTAAGAATTAGGAAGGGTCATCTTTGTGTAATTGACTTCATGTCTTCCTGTGCCACAAGGACCTCTTGAATATCTTTGCTAAGAGCACCTTGTCAGCCGAAAGACAGAGATGAACTGTCACTGTATATGACACTGTATGTCAGGAATCTTTGCAACCATCAGTTTTAAGATTCTGAGCCAAAAGATGTAGTGTGGCAGACAAAATAGGCCTGTGATAGCTTATTTCCTTCCTTTCTGAAGCTTGTCTACAGGAGAGATGAGTACTATAGCAAAGCCAGCATCGCTGTGCCAGCAGAGTCCTCTAGTGGCAATGCAGCTAAGAGATGGGTTTTTTTCCCAGTCTGCAAAATTGGTGTCTAAATTTCTGAAAGGACAAGAAATGGAGTCAAAAGGTTTTCTGGTGCTGGTGCTGCTATATCAGCCTTTGCCATTTGCTAGGAAGTTGGTAGGATTTTTTGTCTTTTGTGGGTTTTGTGACCCACCATGCTGGGTGATACACTTCAAAAAGCAATACACTAGGCCTGATCTTCCATCCAGAACTGAACCCTCTATGGAAAATAAAGGTGTCCATTGCTTGAGCTCCTTTAGCTCAGAGCCTTTATCTCCACGAGTCTCGTCTGTCCTTTAGGTCAAGTGTGAGAGTGCAGCAGCATGCCTAACGATAAAACCAGAGCCCGAGCAGTCCTGCAGTGCTTCCGTTCGGTGCTGCTGAGAGGATGGAGCGGCAGCTCAGGCTGCAAAGTCAGTAGCATGTCCCTGATGCTCAGCCTGGCCTTGTCTCGTCCGTCACACGTGGATAGGACAGCCTCCATGCTCTGCCTCCTGAGCCCACAAAGGAAGACCTCTGTCAGAGTGAGAGGGCTGGAGCCACAAGGTTTGGGACATGAGGCAGGCTGATGGGAGGACAAGTGCCTGAACCACCTCTTCTCTGCTAATGAAGCTGCTACCTTCAGTGGTGTTGCTTCTAGATTCCCATGAAATGGCAAAGTTGCAAGCTGCTTTTTACCTTGCAAGGAAGTAGTACAGTCTGACACGAGTTGTCTCTCTGCTTACAGAAGTTTTGGTGAGGCTACAACAAACCACGCTAGTTCTAAGACCATATGTCAACCCTCGCTGAAAGTAAATGGGGCATCCACCTAGAACATATGCCAAAGCTAACAGCCAGGCTCATCCCATGTCTTCTTACATCCTTCAAGTTTCCAGAAACAACACCATCCTCTCTCTCTTAAGTATCTTGCTATCCTAGCTGGCCAGTGATGCGTTTTTATAGTGTCCAGCTACAGGAAATAAAGAATACTGTTGTGTTGAATATTTGGTCATAAATGGAGCATGATGCAGCAGATAAACTGACTTTACAGACACTGAGAATAGATCAGCAGTACTCAGTCAATGTGAATTAAATCCAGTAAGAAACCTGTTAACCTTCCTGGTTATTTCTCAAATAGCATGTGTGGATGCAATTTGAGTGCTTCTCTGGCATAAAAAGATAAGTAAGCCATCTGCCATGTGATCACAGGAGTAGGTTCATAAAGGAAATACAATCAAGCTTACAAGGACACCTCAAGAAAATAATCAGCAAATAAAATATGAAGCGATGCCCCTTCCACAAACTTTTGGTTGCTTTCTATCCAAGTCCATTCTCATTGGCTGAGATAAATTTCCCACTGGAACATAATTCCTCATCCTAAAATTGTACCCACTCACAAAACCTTGGAATGGGTCGAGTACAGTAGTCACCTCTGTGTTGTGCAGTAGGACATTCTCCAGTCTAAAACTTGTTCCTTCTTGCTGGTGCCCTGCCTATTGCTGTTTAGTGATTCAGGGGTTTTAGGATGCTGTGTAAGCAGGCTGTCAACATGAATCTCAGCCCGTCTCACGGCTTTCTCTTGTACCATCTCTTCCTGCAGAGCTCCCTACAGAAAAACAAGCCAAAAGCATGAACAAACAGCTGAACCAGAGACCTAGCACTCCAAGTAAGCTCTCGCCCATGACAAACTCTTTCTGTTGAGCTCATAGGGGTGTGCATAGATCTCAAAATTCATCTTCACAATTACACTGGTAGCCTCGTGCAGAGTCAGCTCTCCATCAGAGAGACATCTTTTTCCTTCCACACCTCTCCAGCATCTTAGAGCTTATATCCTCCCTCTAGCTGGGAAATTGCAGGTTGTGCTCCTAGCCTTACTGTTCTCCAAGCCCTTTTGTGAAGCTCCAACATCCCCTCTAAAACCGCCTCCCATATATGTCTGGTGCAATCTACTTCTCGTCTCTGGCTCATTGGCGTGTGACTGTTTTACCAGCCTCCTGACCTGGCCTCACCTGCTCACAAGGGAAATGAGAACATCTTTTCCAGTCAGCCATTTGTTTTCTTCCTTGGGTGATCTTTTTACCGCAACCTTGTTATGGGTGGATGTCCTAAAGAGAATTCTGATTTGCTTTGTGTCACTCCAGAAAGTACTTCTCATAGGCCAAGTGAAGGCACTCTTCCTCCTGAATGAGAAGGATCATGGCTGTATATGAGGTATTTAGACAAGCTTTCCAGGTAGTACATGAATATGAGGTACAGTTTTCCTTCGTTCACATGAATCACTCCAAAGCAGCCAAGAGAGAGATCAAGATACAAAATTGAAGTGCTTTTGGGGAATATCTAGGACATGACCTGTTCTCTTGTTCCTTCACTGGGAAAGGTACAGCAGATTGTATGAGAAGCCTTCAAAGATTAAGCCTGAGTGATTTTCCATACTGCAGTGTGACAAGAATACAATCAGGTTATTTTAGAAGACAAAGCAAAAGCAAAAGCAAAGATGGATTTCGCCTTGTATTTGAAAATAACCAATTATTTTGTTTGAATAATAAGACACCTTTACTGTAGGGTGAGTGAAAAGATTAAATGAGTTTCATGGCTTTCAGCTCAGTTTCTAGATTTTCTTAGTGGCTTCCTTTCACAGTTATAATTTGACATTGGCTTGATAGCATTGTGTGTAGATAAATCAGTGGTTTATACCTCATTTGAAACTGTTCTGAAACTAGAATATATTCAGCATTCGATACTGCAAAGTAAATAGAAAATATTATGGAAACTCTGGTTTGGACAATCTAGACAATTTCATAAAAGGGTAGGAAAAAAGGGTTACTTTTAACTTAGTTTTAAGTGACATCTGGGTTCACAGATCGTCAGCTATATTTATCTTTAAGGCTGATCTCCAAATTAGGCTGTTGATATATCCATGTAACTGAACCTGAGACTATTTTCCTTCTACGCGTGAAGCATAAAAATCATGCTTTATCATTAATTTGGGGAATTCCGCACAAATAAAGGACGGCATTGTTATTGTGTCACGGAAATATATTTTTCCCAGTGTGTATATTGGGCTGCCCTGATAGTTGTTGAAACATCTCAACTGCACAGGCTTTTTCAGTTATTTATTTAGCTTTCCAAAAGCTTCTGGAAATTTGCTGCCTTTCTTTTTGTGTGGGAATCAGGTTTTCTTTCAGGCATTCTTTGTCAAAACTTTTGTTTGGTTTTTATTCCTAATAAGCATGAATGGCAAGAGAGAGAGTTTTTGCTGACTTGTACAAAACGAGAAGGATGAGGTTCTGTGGGAGATCCTTCATGATTTGTTCTTCTTCTTCTTTTTTTTTTTTCCCTAAGTAATTCTCTTTAAATAGCTAAGATTTGGCAGTGTGTGTCCCCAGGGGCTGAAATAAATCCAGAGAGAAGAGTGGGAGTCAGAAGAGGAGCCTGGTGTTTTAAATTGAACCTGATTGTCTTTCTCTCTATTGCTTATAGAGGGAGACTGAGAAGATTTAATCGTCATGGGCTTTGGCTGATTTCTGAGGTTATCCCTTTCTGTGATGAGCCCAGAGTACATAAAGGCATAAACCCATCACAGACTTGTGTTAGCTCTCACAGGGCTTGTCCCCATGGAGGCACTTGGAAGGGTGAACGTGGAGGAGCCAAAATTGGGATGTGACTGCCTTACCAGGAGGAAGTTTCACTTCACAAAGTCCTCGATTATTTTTGCGTGTCACAGTATGGGTCCAGGCTTGTGCAGTGGGCTTGGTTTAGGTTTATGTTTTCCAGTGCAATCCAAACAGGCTGCTGCTTACAGACAAATTGCACAGTGAAATGACCCCTTTTTTTCACAAATATCTGTGGAGTAGCATGACTGACTGCTTTCCGTGGACAAAGCAAGTAAGCAACACAAACTAATTAAAAACTGTTATTAGTAGATCAGAGCTGGAGGCTGCTGCTAATTCAGAAGGGAAGGAATCAAGTGCTTTATTGTTAAGGGGGTTCAAGCAAACTAAACAGAAGTAAAGATCTGAGGGGACTCCTGGCTCTCCTGGGAAATGCCAAGGTTGAAACTGCAATAGTGAGTAAGGACAAAGAGTGGGAAGGTGAGATAGGGACTGGAGGAGGGAAGGAGAGTCTTGCTTCTGCAAGAGCAACCTCATTACCTTTGGGAAGGAGGGAGTCTAAGAGATAAAACTAGCTTGGTGAAGATAAAATAGGTTGAGCCAGTCTGAAAAAATGGATGAAAATGAATGCTACCAAGCTAGTAGTGTTGTGCTCCTGGCTCTGTGACACCTCACCAAGGACGGTGGCAAGGGACTGGGCCCTCAGAATAAATAGGAAGAAAAAAATGTTCTGTTTTATCATAGAAAAACTGTAAAGAGGCCAAATGTAAGGTCAGGCTCCTGGGATCCACAGCTAACTCCACGCCAGTTTCAGCACATGAGCCACAGAGAGCTTTAGAGGCTTTAAGTTCATCTCAGTGCTCCTGCTTAAGCTCCCATGCAGTTGATCCCTCTGTCACTGAAGTTAGCATTTGGCTGATACTTGCCGTCTGTCATTGCATCTGCTGTTTCCTGCACTAGGTATCACTTAATCCCGCTGGGTTCAAATATTAGCTCACAGACCCTTGCCTTGATCCTGCATCTTCCCAATTTGGTAAATTTCTGGCAATTGTTTCCACACAACTTTCAGTCTTCATGAACCAGTTTTCCTTTTTGAGCAAAGATTACTTGATGCTCCCATCTGTTTCGCTCTCAAAACACAGTTTCTGATGGTGTTACTAAAACTCTGCAGCAAATGAGCATCTTTCTTGTCTGCTCTGAATTATTGTTGTTACGTGTTTTTACAAGAAGTTACAAATCTGTCATGAAGTGTGTATCTATCATATGGCTTTCTCTATAGGGACAGTATCCTTAAGAGGTGTAATTGATTGTCATTCCTCCGACAGCTTACAGCTGAAGGAAAATAAGCTTTAGAATAATCCTTTTTTGCCTCTAGACTTCAAAAATTATTCAATTCAGCTTTTTGTCTGGATCTGGATCTTGTGATCTTTAAAACACAAAGTCTTAACATGCAACTTTATTGTCACACAAGGTTAGAAGTAGTAAGGTAGAATGGTGCTATAAATTACATGGTCTGCATTCTTGCTTTATGTGTAAGCTTCGTCATGTATCTTTTAACCAACATACAGTCTTGAGATGATGTTGTCATTCATGGTACTTCTTTTCATACTTGATATACGGTTGTATTTTGGCACGGCTGATGGAAGGTAACAATCTTTTTTTGACCTGCTCTAGGGCCACACAAATCAAGACTTACTCCTGGGACAACGCACAAGTGATCCTGGTCGGAAACAAATGTGATATGGAAGATGAAAGAATTGTTCCTGTGGAGAAGGGGAAACTTTTGGCAGATCAGCTAGGTACATGTCAAAGCTTTTCTTTCTACTCTTTTTCCTCTGCTCTTTAAACTCCATTCCTTTTAATTTGCATGATAAAAAGTCCTTCTGGCAGTAATACCTTAATAATGATATCACAACTAAGCGTAATATAGGTCCATGTTTTACTTGCTTAGTGCTGAATATTATCTTCCCGTGGTTGCTGTAGGTTGCTGTACCTGTAAAGCTAATGCCTATGGATGTAAGGAAGATGAAGCTTGTCTGGAAATAACAGCTTTTGTTAGCTCAGTGGAATGAAAAGAGAAAAATTTGCATAAACACAATTCTGCCTCCAGTTCTCTAAGTACTGTGTAGTTGTTTTCAGAATGCAAGCATTGATTTTTGTAGAATAAATTTATTTTCTTTTGCAGCTAAACAATGAAAAAAGTTTATACATCAGAACTGTAAAGCTGAGTAAAATACATTTTAAAAATACACCAGGCTTTTCTATCCAGGTATGGAAATGACATTAGGTTATTGATACGGGATGGAAAAAGCAAACCAGTTCCACTGAGAGGAAACTGGGAGTGCAATGAAAATTTTAGAACAAACAGCAAGATAAATTCATCCTAATTTCTCTCCTTTTTTTTTTTGTTACATATTATAGCACATATCATCCTTTTAATATGGAATCAGGGCTTATGTGTTAAGATTTAACTATTCTGTTGTCTTCTTTTAAAGAATTCATAGTGACAAGTAAATCCTTTTAAAATTTAGTTGACAGTGGAGACCCTTACAGTTTGAAAGAGTAGAGATTCTTACCAGAGCCAAAGGAATCGCCATCATCCCAAATTTATAAAATCCTATATTTTTTTCAATTTAAGAATTGAAGTAATTGAAGGATGCATAATATACTGTTAAACTGGGGGTACTGGAATTCCAGTATGTGCTGCATACGTTGTAGTTTAAAGTGTGACCTTGATCTAATTGCCAATTAAGGTTAAATCTCAGATGATGAGTGTTTATTAGTTGGGGGGATTGTTATTATTGTTTTGCTTTTTTAATGAAGGGAAGGTGACTATAAAGTATAGCTTTGTGATAAGGATGTGCATGATATAAACAAAAAGACGGTCACTGTTCCAAAGGGTTAAGAGCAATCAGATTTTTTTTTCATGTTTCATGTGCAAAAAAAAAAAAAAATCTACAAAGGCCTGCAGGTTTGGAGTCTTCAAGTGTAGATTCTATGTACGCTAAGCACAAAGGGGTCCCATTCATGACTGGAGCCCTGAGCCACTGCCATCGTAAACAAATAACGAGCAAGTATCATACTAAATCCTCTAATTTCCTATCATTTTATTATTGTAATAATAATTCTTTACACGTAGGACTAGTTAGTTTTGCAAAGTCAGTTATGAGGTCTTTTTTACGCATCAGAATTTAATTTGCTTTTGAAAAGAGAAATGTGAATAAACTTGGTTCCTGACTTACAGACTCCACAAAGCGTTGTGAATGCATGCGTGTCCACATATTTTGCAAGAGTAATTACACTGTTAGTAGTTGAAAATTTGTCCAGAACAATGTAACAGCAAATAGAGAGTTTTACTGGAACTTCCACTCCTATTTGGATCTCTGATGTGTTTTTCTAGCTCCCCTCCGCCCTTCCAAATTCATCTGTTTGTTCAAATACGAACTTGGCGTCTGGAATCTGAATCGTTTATGTACGGGACACTTCAAAACACACACCAGAGTTCCCATAGCAACTGACTTATCAGTAGGAACTGTTCTGCTGAAGAATCCCCAGCTCGGCTCCTGACCTGTCCTCCAGCTTGTCCAGCTCTCCCTGGAGAAACACAGCCCAGTGCAGAGCAAAACAAAAGCTCACCGTGCCTTTGGAAAGTGCTGTCCCAGTCTTCCCCTTCTGTAGCTTCCCAAAATACTAACTGTTCTTTTTAAAAGGAAAAATATATCTGGTTGTATCAGTCACTTTTGCCTTATTTTAACTGTGCTAATGTGTACGGCAGTATTTGAAATTACTTGGTGTGTTAGGTGGGAGGAATCTCTTTAATTGACTGTCAGCTGCTTAACCTGCTGGCTTTCATCATAATGATTCACATAAAGGTTATCCTTCATCTAAGTTTGTTTCGTGACATTAACATCCTGAAATAATTTCCTAATGAGATTAAGAAACAGTTATTGGCCTGAATGTGAACTAAACCAACCAGATTCAGTCACAGCAGAAGCTAAGCCAATGTTGGACTGACAAATAGGTGGGTTCAGTTCTCTGGTTTCTTGTGCCTTTTATATACAATGTTAATCATCATCAAAGACAGCATGTGGGTCAGACAGAACCCTCCTCTGATGCAAGACAGCCATCCTTACTTAGTAAAGAGGCAAACACCTTCACCATCACCTCACCCACTGTCCCATGATTTTTAAAAAGTGTTAGAGGGGGCAGATACCTGCTCGTTATTTTGAGGTGACTCAGTCTGCTGGCAGCGGCAGACTGATCAGTTAAGGCTACTTACCTTTTTCTTCATTTTGGCAGAATCAAAGAGAACAGATGCAATGCAGAATATCCCCAAAATGAAGCACAGCAGAACATAGCTTATTGCAAAATGAACCCTCTGTTGTGCTTGAGCTCTCACTGTAGGCAATGCAATAACCTGGCAGAGCAGGCACGACAACCGTTGCAGGTGATGGTCGGCCTTTGAGGCCCCTGGGGTTAGAAACACAAAGAAGTACTTCACAGTTGAGCGAATTTCTGCCAGCTGAGGTAGGGTTCAGGCTCGTGTATGAGAAGGCTGGTTCTTGTGTAGTGTGAGGTGTCAATGGGAGGCAGCGGGAATAGCTGTCTGTGCCGGCCCCACCTTCGCATTGCTCCAGCCTCGCTGGGCTTCTTTTTAATCAGAAAGGGTCAGTGTTTGAGAATCCATACTCATCGCTGCAGGCAGGAGCTGGCAAGTGGACACTGAAATTACTCTATAGAGGCACTCAACATTAGTTGTACTTCAGCAGTGCTAAACGGCCCTTGTCAGGATGGGTGCTCTGTCGTGACGTGCGCTGTACAGGTATTAATCACCCAGAAGAGCTGACTAATCAAAGAATGGGAGAAATGGGACCCAAACTGCAGAGCGTTTAGCTCACAAGAGCCAAAGTTGGGCAGCAGAAGGAACAGAACCACAAACCCACTTCTCTTTCTGGTCTGTGCTCTTGCCAGCCTGCCCCGTACGCAAGGGTGTGTGGAGCCCAGGGGGGCCCCTTCCTACGTTACCAGTCAGTGGCACTGGGAGAGTTCGACTCCCTTGTCCTGAGTTTATTCAGATCTCTGTCACCTGCAGATATGTGTTGTTGGGGCGATGGTAAGGATCCATTTATCCCTTTGACTCTTGTTGATGCTGGATAAGTATTTCTGCTCACAGTTCTCAGATTGTGGGAATCAACTGAGCTTAAGAATTGTCTAATGTCTTGCTTTCTTAAGGTATGTTCTGAAAAAAAATGGTTAGTGTTTTAGAAACCATCTCCACTATCATCTGTCTCGACTGATTTATATCTTTTTCTTCACTTTTTCTCTCAGGTTTTGACTATTTTGAAGCTAGTGCCAAAGAAAACATCAATGTAAGGCAGGTGTTTGAGCGCCTTGTGGATATCATCTGTGAAAAGATGTCGGAGAGTATAGAATCAGACCCTTCGAGGGGCACTTCTGGAAGGAGCATGCGGCTCACAGACAACCCACCCCCTTCGCAGCAGAACTGCTCGTGTTAGTGACCTTTCCTCTGAGAAATGTCCCTCTCCTTTCCTGACTAAATTTTATCTTTTCATTTGTGATGGTGCATTAGCATGTAGTTCCAAAGGCAGAAGTCTCTGCTGTAGGAAACCGATACGTTTGTTTAATGTGCTGGAGTGTTTAATATTATGTATTTCCTTAACCAATAATTTAAAAATCAAAGATCTGAATAAATATTGTAAGTGCACCTAGTGTTTATGTGAGTCACACTGAAGAAAAAGAACTGTATAATGTTGCAAATGTTACTTCCACAGGGAATGTTGCATTTTTAAGTATAAATTCCTCTACTGCAGAAAGAGCTTTTTTGTCAAGAACAGCAGAGAATGTAAAAACCAGTTAGAAGGGACCAGGTCTAAAAGAAAATGGGGACGAACCTTCTCCACAGGCACCAGTAAGAGCTTGCAGAGCACTGGGCGTGTTACTGCATCCGGCACCTCGCTGTGCCCACCTGGTCGTTTCCAGTCGCCCAAGAGGCGATTGTCCTGCAGCTTTTTCCCTGTATCCTGCAGTTTTACCTCTCCAGGTTTGGATCTGCTCTGATCCGTTGCAGGGCAAACAACGGGAGGAATCGGCAGCTGCATGCTTAGTTGGAGGCAAAATCCGACATGTAAGGCTTGGAGCAGCACTGTCTCAGAAAATTAAAAATACTAGGAGTCAAAATGTGAGTGCTAGCAAACATTAGTGCCAATATTATTAGATTTTTTTCTCTGCATTTTGTTATTTATTTTTTTTAGTTTTTTACTAGATGGCTGCGTGTGTTTTTCTGGTTTCAGATTCAACCACAAAGCATAATTTTAAAAAAGGAAAGGTGATTAATAAAACGTAACTGCAGATGAAAAATGGGAAAGAGGTCCCATTAGAGTTGTTCTGTGGACATTTTATTGCATCAGTCTTTGTAGGAAAGAACAGTATCTGTGATACTCTTGTATTTCCAACATCCCCAAAATTACAAAACCTCTACAGCTGTCTGTAGAACTCTGTGCATTAGCTACATGCAGAGCTTCTATTTCTCTGAAATGTAGGGAGGAACTGCTTTTGCGAGTCTGAAATTACGTACCCTGTATGCCTTTGTGATCACACACTGGTTTGCGCATCCCAGCTCCAATGTAAATTAGGTGGATGCGGCGAGTTTGCTGTTGTGAGGTGAAAACTCTGGGAAGTTTTATGGCTTTGCCTTAGGCCTACGGACTCCTCTGACCGAGGAGACCTTCTGATGCCAGAAAGTAGAGTCGAGTATCTGCCCACTGCACTGTAATTTGCTGGATGATGACACTAGCGAACGCTTTTGTAATTTCGTTCTGTTATGTCTTAAAGTTGTAATAGTTCTAAGAGAAAAAGCACAATATTCTGGAGTAAAATGCAACTACATTGACGTAGTTTGAGCTCATTGTGCTAAAGGCTTGATCCCTTCGTTTGTCTGTATGTTGCTTTCAGGAAGCTTTACTGTGACATGTTTTGGGCATGTGTGATCTAGTACTGAAAGTGCGATTTGTGCAGTGCTAGGAATGTGGTTATTGTATTTAAATCCCTGAAACTGCAAAATAAAGAGAAATGTGATCACTGGGTGTGGTCAGAGAGCTTGTGTCAGCTGCGTTTCTAGCATATTAAGCAATCATGTGCATGTATAAAGAAGGTATCTTTCAAGTGGGTTTAGAATACGTCAAACTACATTGATCTTTTTTTTGGACAGGGCAAAGAACCTTGACCCCAGCTATCAGGAATCACTATGCCCATTTAAAAGAATCACCATGCACGTTTAAATCAGAGAGAAGAAAAGGATTATTTGGCCAATAGATCTGAGGTGCAGTGTTCTAACCGTAGCAGAAGCAAGTTTTAGGGCAAATTGTCTAACTAGCAAAAAGAAATAAAAACTTCCACAGCGGGGAGCAATGATTTTGAGCTGCATGAGTATAATGGAGTACCTCAGTGCAAATAATGATTTTTTCAGCTCAGCAACTCAAGAGTGAAAGAAAATAGATTCAGCAGAAATGGAATTTCAGTTCTTTTGTTTTACTGACTTTTTTGTTTCTAGCAAAAAAGACCTTTCCCACCCAATATATAATTGTGTTTTGCTGTATTCCTGTCATGTCACGTGTATTTTTAAATATTTGTGTAAGAAGAATACAGGTACATTCCAGGTTCTTCATGCAAGGATGGGCAGAATTGTTTGTTACAGGACAAGCCAGCATGTAGCCATGTGGCAGTATAGTCCAAAGAGCTGGAAAGGGCAGTTACGAATTCTACCCTATATTGCATACATGGAGAAACTTGGCATTTGGTGCAGAAGTCCTGCAGAGTTTATTTCAAATAAGGAATCAATCACAGGCAAGTGACATGTATGGAAAATCATGTTGCCAGAGGTCAGTGTTCACAAGGAAGACAGGAGTCTTAACTTTATTCAAATAAAGTTCACCAGGATTGCCAAGTCCCAGTGAAGTCTCTCAGATTGGCAGAGGACGCAGCCTCCTTTTATCCTAATTTCCTGGCCGCATGAAACCCTCTCCTTTTCCCCAGGGGCTGAGGTACTCAGGAGGTACAGACTTCCCGATCTGCCTATTCCATGTTCCCCCTTAACGTGTGCCCCCCTTAACAACACGCATCGCGTGTTTCATTAACTCCAACTTTATGCCACCCAGGGCACAGAGGTTGACATTCATAGGCCTATTAAGCCTGCATGCTTTTTCTCAAAGTTCAAAAGTTTAGAGCTCCTTGCTGTTGACTTAATTAATAGCCCTGATGGTCAAGGTGTCTCATTATCTTCTCCTTACAGACTGCATCCTGTGACTCCCTCATTCATGAAGGACACTCTCCTCTTTGTTCCATCACTAACATGAAAAAAACCACGCACTCCCCTTCTTGTTTTGTCACTCATTTTTAAAGACACTCTACTTTCTTATTCTCTCAGACACATCTCTCCATTAATATTTGTGTCTTATCATCCTGCATTTGCATTAAAAGCTGTGAATGAGTATAGAGAAAGCCTTTTGCCTTAAGTGACACGCAGCTGATTTCAGCATCCCAGTGAGTCAGTAGCAATAGCTACTTGTATGAACTTGTAAGAGGTAACGCCAGAATGCGAGACAGGAATTTGTCAGGGCAAGGGAAATAACAGACTTGCTTGCGCTGAAGACAAAACCAAATTCTTGATGCGGTCTTGCAGAGATCCTTCCATGTGACTGGTAGTGGCCCAGGGTAGTCGTGTTGGTAAGACAGGATGGGTACAAGAATGTGAAAGGGAAGAGGTTACTGCTCTCTTCCCAAGCTTCTCTCTGTGGTTTGTGTGAGACAGCACCGGGCAGTTCTCTAGGAAAAGCCACGTGGGAGGCTCTTGGCTTGAGATGGGTCTTGGCTTCCATCTCGTGGAGAAATAAAGCACTAAAATACCAAGGTAGGCATCCAGCCTAAATTACTTTCCCAGCTGTCCAGTCTAAATTACCGCTCCTGTATCTCAGACACAGCCCCCCTCCCCATTTGTATTAGCCTCTGATCCCTTAATTTGGCTTTCATCATCTATTTTGCAGTGAAAACAGGCTTACGCACGCCCAAGATAATTTACAGCACTGGTATTACAGGAACAGCACGAAAGGGACGTGGTGAATGCAGCGGGCAAGGTTCCCAACAGTTTGCAAAGCGTTGCAGGGATCCCGGTGCCATTTGGGAACATCAGCTTCCGAGAGATTTAACACAAAAGCGGCAGCGGCGGCAGCACTCCCGGTGCGGAGCCGGCAGTGGCTCCAGCAGCACCGCCCTTCCCTCGGCGCCAAGAGCCTGTCCACGAGTTGGGAAACGCTAAGTAAGACCTACGGACGTGTGAAGCCTAGGCCGTATCAACAATAAACAGTCTTTTCTGTCCAACAGTCCTGGGTACAAACTTTAAGGATTCCCTTAGGGGAAGAGAAGAATTTTCAGACTCGGAGCC